AAAACAAACCACTAAATGATTCAAGTAGAGAGTACTGTGTCCATGTCAGATCCTACATCTTGTGTGGCTAGTTGCTCAACTGTGATTCAAACATACTGTACCATATCTGATTCTAGGAGCTTGAGCTCCTTAAGAAACAACAGGGTCCCGCATTGCTCAGTCACGGGGCTCCTCCATGCAGATCCTGGAGAAGGGGCACAGTGTTTCATATGTTCACACCGAGCTACTCCCTAACACGAGCGGGAACACCAGTTCGGGAAACCACTGTTACAGTACGATGTCCCCAGAGCTCAACCAACTTGCTTCTTGTTCTCATCCTTACTTCAATTTTATGTCAACTGAAAAGTCCATCATAGGCTAGTGTATATATGACTTTATATGCTCCACGATGCCTTATGTACTTTTTGTCGCAGCTTATAAAGCTACAAGCAGAATGAAATCCAGAGCTATGGCAAGTCAGAAAGTGCAACTAGTAACTACTTTACCCACATTATAATTAAGTCAAGGTAGAAGAAATCATTTCAGGTGAGAAATGAGACCTAAATTGTTCTTCTTTAGTTGGTACAATTAAGAATAATACTATTTACTGTAAACATTATGCCAACATTTTAAAAATTCTTCTGGTGTAAAAATGAAAATAAACACAGTGGGCGAAGGTACATTTCGAGCTGGCTCTGTAGCAACCTTCCCCTGTAAGCTCTGTACATCTATCCCGCTGCCTGCTTGGAAGGCATGAAGTCACAATGATGTCAGCGCACACAGCGCAGGCTGGTGAGTCTGCGGGGCGGCGGCTGTTCTCTGCGAGGGCTTCTCACGCTTGTCGGATAACCTACACCATTTATTTTCAGAATGCCAAATATTAAATTTAATTTCATGTTTTACAGTTTGTTACCAGGGAACAAATAGGGCAATTTCATCTAGTTCAAACACCTTTAATCTGAAGGACCTGTTAATTCTGGCCTTACAAAAATACGAGGCAAGATACAGCATGCCAAAGACAGGTGACGCTCCCTCTTAATCAACTAAATCATGACGGCAGATAAGTATGAATGCAATAAAAAGTGAGCAGGTAGGGCTAGTCTTTTGAAAGCTGAACATATTATATAAAAATTTACTTGAAATTTTTCAGTCCATAAAATTTTTTATTTTTTTTCTATAAAGGCTTTGAAAAAGTCTCAGGAAGCCAAGCTGAAGTTCATCATCAGTGAGGATTTACTTTTGGACTCTACTGTGCTCATTAATCAATTTGCCTATTTTGATTACTACAGCTTTATAGCAAATCTTAAAACTAGGCTATGTGGGTCTTCAACATTTGTCTGTTTCTTCTCAAAGATGTTTTGGCTACTTTTAAGTTCAATGAATTTCTGTGTAAATTTTAGGACACTCTCAGTTTGTCGGGTCTACATTCCCTGTAAGCCCCTTCAGAAAGAAGCCTTCTCACCCAGGAACAAAGCATAGCTCCCCTTCTATTCTTATCTCTAATTTCATTAAATAGGTCTTCACTTAGTTTTCTCTCAGATTTATTTCTAATTTTTTTTCATATTTTAAATTTTCATATTCTGATTGTTACATTTCTACAAAAGGTAACTAAAAAAATTCAGTTTCCAAGTGCTCATTGCTACTATGTAAAGATACTTTTTTTTTTTTTTTTTTTTTTTTTTTTTAGTCAGTGTTCAGGAGAAATTTAGGTTTTTAAAAACATTTATATATTCCCCTACCCATAGAGTTCTGCTTCCCAATTAGCTGACTAACAGACCAATAGGCATATAATTAGGAAAATAAAAAGTAATGCAACCCTAGATAAAATTCAATACAATTATCACATTCAAGTTAAAGCATAACTACTCACCTAGGAAAAAATGCAAAACTATTTTTCCTGCTACTTAATAATAATAATAATAAATCCAAGTTATAGCACAGACCACATGAAAATGGAGGAAGAAACACACTGTAGAGAATGGCAAAGAAAAGGGTCACAAGGTGGCAACAGTCAGAACAGAGAAGACAGGACCCAATGCAAAGAGTAGTTAAAAGGAAAGTTCCAGGCCATTAGTATCATTCACTGTCCCTAAGAATTATTATAGTGCACGTATTCAAAGTAAGAAGATTACAAACCATCTTAGAGTCAAACATTAACAAACCCAAGTTACAGCCTCGGGACTGACAAGACATGTTCTTTTCACATGAGCATACAATTACAAAGCTGGGTTATATACGCGAGCACGAGACATCCTCAAAACTCTGTCAGTTATCACAGATGGTGTATACACATGACGCAAGGAGAGAAAATGGATATATATCAAAAGGAGAACAAACTACCACCATCACTGTCACGCCCGAGGAGTGAATATTAACAGTTTCAATTTTCCAAGGAGAAACTCCTTTGAAGATGGTGTCTTTCAATAAGGTCGTGCTGCAGCATTATTATTATTATTATTATTATTTTATGAATAAGATTAACAAAGATCTTGGCTTTGAAAAATACTAAAAGCTTTAATTTGCTAGAAGGCTGAACGGGAAGGAAAAGCTGGTTTTTGTTGTTGTTGTTGTTGTTTTCCCTTTGCGCAATACTCCCCCCAGGAGAAGGGCTTCCACCTCCGCCACAGGGATTGTAGCAGGCCACTGCACGCGAACGTGGAAAGGGCCCAGGCAACAGGCTCAGGGTAACGGGGGAAAAGCACCACAGGAACCACAGAAAGGTTTACACAAGGGCACAGGAAGAGGAAGGTGGCCAAGACGGGAAGAACATTTCACCTGCTTTCCTACTAACTTCCCAGGGTAACACATGCACCTACCCAAAGCCTCAGACAACGGTGACCATCTTCAACTACACTGTATCAGACTCAGGAGGAAAATGATACAAATTCATCAAATGTAAAGCCTTCCTGTCAACCAAACAGCACTCGCTTCTTCCCCTCACGTGGAAATTCCCAACTGGCAATTACAATGACTGGTAGTTTCCCAACTGTCAAGAAAGGCAAACTATTTTTGTTCTTACTACTATTGTTCTACTTCTTAGACCGAGGGCCGTCCAGAAAGTGACTCCCATTTGACGGTATGAGACACAGCTGCGTCATGGTGAATTTTACAGCACACCTAATGTGTCTTCATTGTAAAGTGCCAATATTTTATGCAACAATCATCAGCGCTCGGTGACGAGGGCTGTAAATACAAGCTTTCAATCCCTAGCAGCATTATGAAATTTAAAAGAGGAAAACCCCCCAGGCTACTTAGAGTGGGCAAGATGCCTCACACGCTGGGAGTTGCAGCCAGTTGGTGCAAGAAGGAGCCTCTCTCCCTCCCTCCGTGAACATCTGTAGGGCGCACTGTCTCTCATTCCTCTGGCACACTGTTTGGAAGACACAAGCTTCTCACATGTATCTGTCTGATCTGAATCAATGCCCAAAGGGCGACAATGACACCTTCTATTCATTGGCCCCTCCCACGGCACCTCACAAGGAGATGCTTCCTAGCATTAATTGACTATTGTTAACTGCTAATTGAGTAAGTCGCTTCTGATGATGGCTGTGTGTTCTATACTCTGCACTGCCTATAATTCCGAATTTTCTGAAAAGGGGAAGTGAAGCAGGCAAAACAACAGTGTTTATCTGAAATGAACAGAATTTGTAGCTGATTTTAGGTAAAAAGAATTCTGTTTACCTTAGACTAATCCTAGCTGTAAGGAAAGATCTCCCCGCATCTCAGCACGGTTTTCCCAGCCCCTAGGAAACATCAGTAATAGCTGGCTCTAGCTTTTTCTTCAAGTTCCTTCTTGGACTGAAAAGCAATAATATCGGCAACAAAGCTTCAGCTCTCCACCTCAAGCCCTTGTCTCCAAATATTCTTCCCACCCGCTTCAGACTCTCCTTCCAACTGTGCTCATCCCCATGGCTTTCCAATGGGCTCCCATGGCACATGACGGTCAGCAATTCTATCCTAAGACTGTTCTCAACCTGCACCAGGGATCACGGTGTCGTCCTCAAAGGCTCGTTAACGCACAAACTCCTGGGCTCGTACTTCATAGGGTGTGTGGTGTGGCCTGAGCATATGCATTCTAACAAGGCTCCACTGAGGCTCTACTGTTGCTCACACTTTGAAGACTATTATTCCCCTCAATGACACCTTTCTCTGTCACGTTTACTGTGTCTGGTTTATTATTCAACCAAGTTTTAAAGACTTGGTTTTAATGCTCCTTGTCCACATAGGTGGTGACTGTGTAATATGAATGACAGCACAGCAAATAGTTTTAGACAACTCAAGTCCAACTATACCTCCCAAACACAATGTGACACACAAGGGAAACACTGAACTACTTATTCAGCCTCCATCGCTTAACGCTCAGCAACAGGGATGAGACTGCTACACTCTGGAAGGAATGTTTTCTTTACTCCCTCTCACAAGGTCAACTCCTACTTTTCTTTCAGGCAGGCACTCTGGGAAAACTTACTCATGGAAGCTTTTCTTTTCCTCCCTACTTCCAACTCAGATCCTCCTCCTGTGTGATCTCACAGTCAATGAATGCCCGGGCTTCACAGCCATTGTTACAGTTACATTTGCTTGTATCAGTGTTTTATTAATAGTTATTTTCTGCAATGACACATAAGCTTCCAACAAATAGGGAGTGCTTTTATTTTGAGAACACTTTGTGTCCAGTGTGTACAAATGAATACAAGGAGTTGAACTTTTCCAGCCCTGAGGAACACGGTAAGGCATTTCTTTCTACACTCTACCGAAACAAGGAATACTGGAACAAAAATCTAACTTATTATTGGTTACCTGTTTTCAGTTACTCAACATGCAAAATGAAATGTTTTAAGAAAAGATTTACGGGGGCTGGAGAGATGGCTCAGAGGTTAAGGACAATGGCTGTTCTTCCAAAGGTCCTGAGTTCAATTCACAGCAACCACATGGTGGCTCATAACCATCTATAGTAAGATCTGCAGGCACAATGTTGTATAAATAATAAATAAATCTTTAAAAAAAAAAAAGAAATGATTTACCTCTTCTGAATAATTCTTGCAGACTTTCAGCGCTTTGGTTTAGTACAGCCCAGATCTCCTCCTCCTGCAGTGGTCCGCCCCGAACCTCCAGGGCCTCTGCTAGTGACACATGCATATTACCTAGAACAGAAAAGTCAGAGAAGGTTTAACTGAGTTCTTATCCTCCATCAGGGAAGAGCTACGCGCTCCCACCTACTTAATTTTTCAGTGTGGCTTTTAAGCGAAACACAACCCTACAGATTTAAACTTGAAAAGGTGAACGCACTGGACGAAAGCCCCTTAAAACACCTTTGTTGGTCTGCCTAACATTGTTAGCCTCAAAGACTGTTGGGAAGAGTGCTGGTGAGTACTTCATGAGAGAAGACAGAAAGCACAGGGGGACCAGGAAGTCACCCCACTATAGATAATGAAACAAGAAGCTCAAGGCTTTCACAGTGCTCAGTTCCAGGCCTTCTCCTTTCCATTTCAAACACAAAGAGGAACAAAGAAGAACCCACAGCTACACAAGAGGAAGATGGGAATAAGACACATCACATTCCTTGTGCTCATTAACTGCTTTCTATAATCTCTGACATTATCTTATGGAAACTTTTATGCTGAAGAGAATTAACTATTCCTAGACTCAACCACGATGCAAATTCCCCACTTGCTCCTACAAAGAGGTCTCTTCCCTCAGCACGCTCCCATCTGTGGCTTGGGAATGATGATGATGATGATGATGCCCTCTGGGCAGCTGTGACAAGAAAAGGGGTTATGCCTGAGACTATGCTTTGTAGTTTAACACCATACAGGAACTAAATTAACAAAAGACCAGAAGTTTCTCTGAGGCAATATTTTTTAATTAATTTATTTATTATTTATACAGAGTTCTGCTTACATGTACACCTGCATGACCAGATCTCATTACAGATGGTTGTGAGCCACCATGTGGTTGCTGGGAGTTGAACTCAGGACCTTTGGAAGAGCAGTCAATCCTCTTAACCTCTGAGCCATCTCTCCAGCCCTGAGGCAATATTTTTATAACAAATTTCCTAATGTTTCCACAGGTGATATACTGATAACATTTATGATTTCCTATTGGGCTCAATACTTTAATGTGGAAAGGAGAAAATGTCGCTTCAAAAGATCCTCCCATATGCACTTTCCTGAGCTGACACACCTCAGAGAAATGGATCCTTTAAGTGATGGATAAGACTTGTGCTTCCCCAAATCTGCTTAATGCAGTTGATCATCGCTGGCAGACAAAAGCCAGCGGGTTAGGAGACAGAGAAGACCGGATGTGTAAAGTGTTATAGTCATCTTAGCTATACTCATTACATTAATCTTTAAAAATTAGCCCATAAAGACATGTGATTTAGACAAACAGGTGACTTGCATTTACCCAACCACCAGGAAAATACTCAAGTGATCCAAAAGACCCATATGAAAAGGAGGTGAGGAGGGGGGTGGGGAGGGGGATAGGGAGGTGGGCCTCTCATTGGGGAATGGATGATAAATACAGGAGGAAAGAGGGTAAAATAACAGTAAGGATGCCAGGCGTGGTGGCGTATGCCTATAATCCTAGCACTTGGGAGACAGGCATGTGGATCTTTGTGAGTTCCAGGCCAGCCTGTTCTACAAAGTGAGTTCAGGACATTCAAGGCTACACAGAGAAACCCTGTCTTGAAAAACAAACACAAGCAAGCAAACAAAATAATAGTAAGGATGTCTGAAAAAGTTATAAATAATCCTACTATTAGCGACCTACCTGAAAACATCTATAAAGCATGTAAGTTGTATATAAATATGTATATATAATTTAAATGAAAAATTTCCATCTGGGTTGACAATGCTCCCTACAAGAGCCATAGACTAGCTAGCAAAATCCCAACACCAGGCAGGAGAAACCCTCATTTGAGTTGTTGGTCAGGGTTGTCCAAAGGACTACTGAAACATGGGTTATTGTTATTGCCATTGGCTTTCTCCCAGAGGTGGATGGCAAGTCCCTACTGTTGAAGACACTGTGCACTTGGGATACAGAGCTCAGAGACCCTGAGGTGGGTCTGACATGAATGCTTCCTCTCTGGGAACTAACTTTCATGGTACCAGAGGTGCCATGGAAGCTTCCAAAGGGGTGAAGCAGCCAACAGTCCTACCCAGCTATGATGCCATGATCCACAACAAGGACGAGCACGGCATGATGCCTGCAGGGTACGGTGGTGGCCCGTATGCCTGACCGGTAGCCAAAAGCTCTCTAATTGAGCTTAAGACCCATGCAACAAGAGGGGAAACCAGGACACTCCCTTACAATAATCTAGAAACATTTGTCCTTATGTCCACAGATAAGTGAAGTCTTCACCCCACATCAAGGAAACTTGTCTTTGCAACAAATCATTACCTAAAACCACAACTGATCAAAATGCAAAACTGTGGAGCCAGTCCCAGCAGATACATCTACAGTACAACACACAGAAGAGTTGGGTCAGGGATCACTGGTGCAAGAGGTGGCAAAGACATTGTAAAAGACAGAGACTGGGAGTTTACTGGGAGACTGTGTCTCTTATAAATGCCAAAAAGCTACATGCAGAAAGTCTCACCAGCATTGCTGCTTGAACATGACTGGACAAGGAGGACACCAGTAGACGTGCTAACATGGAGGGATGAGGGCTCCAGCAGCCTCAAGTTACAGGCAACTGAGGAATGCTGAGATCAGGACAAAGTCTTCCCCAAAGGAAAGCACACCAATTGGTTACCCAGTACTAAATGGTCAGCCCTGAAAACACACACGGATAAGTAACATACACATGGAGCGGCTGTACTTACATAGTTAGGAGTACACATGTACGTACACACACACACACACACACACACACACACACACACACAAGGAGACCATGAATTTTAAAGACAGAGAGGAGAATACATGAAAGCGTTTGAAGTAAGAAAGGGGAAAAGGGAAAGATATAATTATAATCCCAAAAATATTTTTTTAAATTTATACTTATAATCTAGTTTGAAGAAAATCAGTTCCAGCTGTAAGTCTTTCCCCCTATCTACCTATATGTATAGTGTGGAAACCAAAAGGGAAGATGGAAGATTCTGCTGAGATAGCTGAGGTTTTTATTCAGCTTGTATAAGAAATAAGGTGATTTCCTCAGACGTTCTGCCCACACCAAATGTTTCTGGGTTTCCATGTGCTTCGTTAGAACAGCACATCATTATAACAGGAGATGCACTGCTAAGAGATATGTGAGTTATTATCTCCCTCATGAAATGTTTAATAAACTGGAGTTTCAACAGAGGCACTGAGATACTATTAGCAGGGCTTATGAGAAGGAATGCCCTGTAGCAAGTTTCCAAGGGGCCTTAGAACCGGTTAGATGGCTCCTGAGCCTACACACCCTGCACAAAGAGCTTGCACAAGCAAGCCTTCTTTGAAGAGAGGTATGCTGGTTTTCATGTCTCCCCTAAAGCTGATGGGGTGTGGGAAGGGGCCTTCCTTTCACCTCAAGGGAGTGAAAGAGGCTTCATTTGGAGCACTTGAAGTGCTTGATGTGTCTCCTGGAGTTAGACCAGTATCTGATACGCACTCGGGCATTTAGAGACATTGGTTATCACCCCAAGGTATCACAAGAGTGAGAGGGCATATGATAGCAAAACGGGGAGGGGGAAAGGCAGGGAAGCAGGGCTCAGGGGCAAGTTCCGCCCAACAGAAACCCTTCCTAGAGGATGAGAATATTCCAGACCCAAAATGTTGCTTGAAAAAAAAATTAAAAAACACAAACAGGTTCCTCCCTGGCACCGGGGGAGGGGTGGGGACTAGCCCAAAGTACTAACATAAACACACAGAGCCACCACCAACAACAACAACAAAAAAAAAAAAAACACTGTTCCGAGCAAGAAGAGGAATAAAGGGAGAAGTGAGGAACAAGGACTTCAACTAAGAGAGGAGCCTGGGAGAGAGGCAGGCTGAGGCCCACAGTGTCAGGACTGTCTCCACAGGCAGCGAGGTTCCAGTGAAAAGCTCTTAAAGCCATTCGGAACAGCAAGGCCACCCCCAGCCACACAGCCAGTTCAGCACTGGGGCAGAAGACTACTGTTTTAGGCGTGATGTGGAAAGGCAGGGTGACGCACAAGGGGGGTGAGCAGCCGCTCCCTGCGCTGCCTCCCACCACGAGGGACAGGGGTTCAGACTTCAGGTGCAAAGACATTGAAATGCTGACCTATATGAAATGCTGAGAAGGCCCTTTCAGTTAGGGGCTCCACCATGTCTTTTAAGTCAAGGGACTGTAATTATTTCTGCTATCAAAGAGTAATGAGAGAAGGATGGACCCCAGTTTTCATAGAGACAGAGGTGGAGAACTGCCTCTGACATAAAGACAAAGAGAAGCAACATTATACAAGGCTGCATGTGAGCCCACCTGAGGCAAGTGATTGCAGTAGCATCGTGTTTGTGGTGTTTGTGTATGACCACACACCTATCTCACTAAAACTAAAATCTTAAAAGTTTTGTTTATACTTTCAAGGAAACTGGTTTTTAAAACTTAGTTAAGTTACTCCTTATACTGAGGAAAAATTAAAAAAACTCAAATAACTTTTCCTGCAGTAAAACTTTTCCTGCTTGCTTCCCCACCCACAAAGATCTCTGGTTATAGTTCTGATGCGGATTCAATGGGTTCTGGATTACATCAACCGTCTGCAATTTCTATTTGAAGTATTACGTTTGTTTGTTCAGTACAAGGTTTCTAGACATTCTGTGGCTAAAATTTAAAACCAGAAAAATATTTGTTTTTTAAAATAGTACCATTGATTTTATTTAGTTTACGGCTTCACTAGAAAAAAAAAAAAAAAAGAGTTAAGATTTTTAATAACTACTTCACCTGGCCATCCAGTCTGAGGACAGTGTTATGGCAACTTTGAAGACAGCAAATAGATGAAGGAAAGCATTAGTTAAGAAAAATGTAAAGTTTATTGCGTCAGTTACCACCTTTAGAAATACACTGTGCGGTACAGGAAAATGACTGCCGTTATTTTCCCATTATCCTCTTTTCCAGTCAGCAAAACAATCTTATTTCCTTTATGTTCTTGGTATATGGTACATGACAGCTACAAAGTTGGGTTCTGTTTTGTTTGCTATTGTT